CATGGGGTCTGAAAATACCGTGATCGAGTAACCATTCATGTCTCACAGCTGACAATGATCTGCACCATGACAGCTCCAGATCTGAAGTAGGAGACGGAGAACTCCAACTCATGCTGCTTTGTACCGTGTGCAGATGTTATACCATAAGCAGAGAAATATTTACCTGCAAGACAATATATTGTATCAGTGGCATCTTCACCAGTTTTATAACAACTCGGTAGCTGCAATGTCAGCAGAAGATAGAAAAATCTTCATCAACAATATTCTGCACTAACAAGATACAGAAATCATAGCATTACAAGTGTATGTTGCTTTGTTACTAATAATACAAGTTTACAACAGGGATATAGATATTGTACGTACTGACAAACATGGAACTTATTTAAAAATGTAATTCAACATCCCAAGGTCAAATGTATTATTTTTGTTACATTGTCTTTTTCCTCCAACCTTTGGAAAGAGGTCTGCCTGCATTCTCTGCAGATATAAACAAGTTTTAGAGAAACGCCTCAAATAAAACACAAACCGAAATAAACTTTATGACAGCAGGACCATCCTTGTTGGTATGTCTCATAAGGCTCTCTCAAGCTGCATTTTATGGAAGCACGGGTAGCAACCTGATGACTAAACTGTGACAAAAACCCTTGAGAGGACTCCAAGGGACTTTCTAAGCAGCCCTAGCCAGAAGCATTTGACAACTAAATAGACATGATTCCTTTTATTTTATTATTAGCTTAAATTAACTTTAGTGTAATGTTGTGGTTTTGGTACACAGATCATGCCCCTGCAGTTTCACTGCATCAGGTTCATAGAGGTCACAGACAGAGGCAGTGCCATGGGAACATATGCGGCAGCCCTTTGTGTATGAAGGCAATACAAAACTTTTCTTATGGGGCATGCTGGCAGCAAAACCACTAAAGCACGCAGTAGCAACTATGGTAGTTGGATTATGTTACATAAAACCAATGCTGAACAATATAGCGAACATTTGTTTTATAAAATGTGCTTCCATCCTCTGCAATGCATCTGTTGTCAAAACAGATTTGTGACAACAAATGTACAGGTTTTATTTATTTTTATATACAGGTAAAAACCAATACTTTATTTTAAAATGATTTAATGACTATGATCCAATGCCCACACCTTACTCCACCCAAACAGTAAAATTAATAGCAGTGCAAACTTAGTGTTACAAACACTATATTGCTACAAATACAATGTTTTGTTGTGTTCGACTGGAATTAAAAATGGCATGGTTGTTATGATCTTTAATATTAGCAAACAGATAAGGATTGTTATGTTTACAAAAATATTTTTTTTATGATTAGTTTAAAAGTTATTTCTGAACTGATTGTTTTATACCATTAGAAATACACAGGTTATAATGAAATGATTGCAAGATGAACTGTCTCCAGTTAAAAAATGTTTAAGGACCACTATAGTGCAATGAAAACAAACTCGTTTTCCTGGCTCTATAGTGTTAATAGGTCCCCCCTCCCACCTTCATGGCTCCCTCAGCACTGGGGACTCTCCTCCTCCTTCCGACATCATCGGCTAAATGCGCATTCAGTCAGTCCAGAACGCTTTCTTATGGACGCTGGCGTCTTCTCACTGTGAAAATCACAGTGAGAAGCACGGAAGCGCCTCTAGTGGCTGTCAATAAGACAACCACTAGAGGCAGGATTAACCCCTATGTAAACAAGTTTACAGCTGCAGGGTTAACCCTAGATGGACCTGGCACACAGACCACTTCATTGAGCTGAAGTGGTCTGGGTGCCTATAGTGGTCCTTTAATCACCTTAACTTAAATTTGGTGCTTAAAGCATTCATTTAAAGAAAACAAACAGCTTTAGCTTAGTGAATCAGTTTTTGTGTGTAGATCATGCTCCTGGCGTCTCACTGCTCAATTCTCTGCCAGGAAGGAATTTATTCACTTTTGATTCTGTTTATGCAACCATAGCCACACCTCCCCTGTCTGTGACGCACACAGCCTCCATGAAAAAAATGGTTTCATTTTCAAATCAGATGTGACAGCACAGTGTACTTTAAACACATTGAAACGCTGCACATACAGAGATATTTACACTTTTGTTCTGGGGGTTACTTACAAGCACAAGCACATGTAACTTTATTCTGGGCTACCTAATGTCAATTCTGTGCAAAAACTACATCTGTCATCAGCGCGCACCTCACATTTTCAAAAGATATTAACAGCCTTACGCCCTACCTTGCCCAATTTCAGCCCTCCCCAACCTGCTTAAAGGACCACTATAGGCACTCAGACCACTTATGCTCAAAGTGGTCTGGGTGCCAGGTCCATCTAGGGTTAACCCTGCAGCTGTAAACATAGCAGTTTCCGAGAAACTATGTTTACATATGGGTTAATCCAGCCTCTAATGGCAGTCTCATTGACAGCCGCTAGAGGCGCTTGTCACTGTGATTTTCACAGTGAGAAGACGCTGCCGTCCATAGGAAAGCATTGAGAAATGCTTTCCTATGGACTGATTGAATGCGCGCGCAGCTCTTGCCGCACATGCGCATTCACCACTGACGTCGGAAGAGGGAGGAGAGCCCCCAGCGCAGAAGGAGCCCAGCGCTGGAGAAAGGTAAGAATTTAACCCCTTCCTCCACCTTCAGCTTGGCGGGAGTGGGACCCTGAGGGTGGGGGGGACCCAAAGACCCTATAGTGCCAGGAAATCGAGTTTGTACATCTTTTTCATTTTTTTTTTTACCTCTTTCCCTTGCCAACCCCCTCTCCCTCACCCCAATAACTAATTGTCCAAACAAATGGCAACTGATTGGACAGATAGGTTCGTGGAAACCAGTGAGGGGAAATTTGCCTGGTATGTTTATGCTTATTTTAAAGGGTTTTAAGAAATAAAATTACTAATACCCAACAGGGCAGAAGAAAAAAAATGGTTTGTAGTAATTTTTTAAGCTTACTAACTGAAAACTTTCTGCTTTAAAACAAATATGCACTCCATCTAATATGTGACATGTAACTTATTATACACTAGGAACTTGACACTTGCAAAATCTATTTTGATGTACAATTCTACTGCTAGATTTGTATTAAAGGATCACTATAGGCACCCAGATCACTTCAGCTCAATGAAGTGGTCTGGGTGCCAGGTCCATGCAGGGTTAACCCTGCCTGCTGTAAACATAGCAGTTTCAGAGAAATGTTTCAGAGAAACTGCTATGTTTACATATGGGTTAATCCAGCCTCTAGTGGCTGTCTCATTGACAGGCGCTAGAGGCACTTACGCACTTCTCACTGTGATTTTCACAGTGAGAAGACGCTTGCGTCCATTGGAAAGCATTGAGAATGCTTTCCTAAGGACTGGCTGAATACGCGCGCGCCTCTTGCCGTGCATGCAGTCGATGACGTCGGAAGGAGGAGGAGAGTCCCCAGCGCCTAGGGAGCCCGGTGCTGGAGAAAGATGAGTGTTTAACCCCCTTCAGCCCGGCGGGAGTGGGACCCTGAGGGTGGAGGCACCCTCAGGGCACTATAGTTCCAGGAAAACGAGTTTGTTTTCCTAGCACTATAGTTGTCCTTTAAGCTTTCACAGTCAAAACTGAAAAGGAACAATATAATGTTTAAGGGTCGACTCACAAAGAGGCAACTGCAGTTGTACAAATGCCAAATTTACTTGAATTCTTTAAAAAAAAGTTTGTTTTTGGGAGGAAATGTTTTGACATATTTTGCACCATAAGCCTTATTCATAAGTTACTCCCTTCATTTCAGAAAAAGACTCTCTTATCAATGTACAAACACAGCTCAACCACTGACAGCATTTGGTGAGCTGGACTGCTATAAGCAAAAGCAGTCTGCATTGAAAGGAGAAGACACTAAAGCTGACAAATATTATGGATATCAATGTCTGTTTCACTGACTGCCTGTAACTTGCTTGTGGATTAAATGAAGCTTCATTTAAATGTATCCTCTATGACTTCCACAATTTAATATCTTAATGCGTCAAAGAGTCATGTCATGAATTAGTGATGCAGACAATCAGACTTGGCAAAACCTAATGAATGTAATCAAATGACACTGAAGACATCCTGATGCTGCTGGACTATGACCTCTAAATTCGCAAACACAACTAACCGTTAATATAGAAGGATTAGGAACATTTTGTCATGTACAGGCTACATATTTTTAGGCCACCTTATGGGTATGTCAGATGTAGACTGAGAAATCCACATATTTTTATGAAAAACATTTTTCTAAAATATATGTCACAAAAATAAATAAATCCTAAAATGCTAAATTGTTTTTATTCTAAATTGTAGCAGAAATATGATATAGAGACTCACCCCATTATCTGTGTTATAAAAACATAGACAATGTACATTTCTCATTGAGGCCCTTCGGCCAGACTGTGTCCAGTGTTTTAATCCAGTGTTCCAACGGGAGGCATTTTGGATTAAATCACTGGACACAGTCTGGCCGAAAGGCCTCAATGAGAAATGTTTTTATAACACAGATGATGGTGTGAGCCACTATACCATATGGACCCATAATCGTATTGATATTGACTAATTCGTACCATATTTACTTTTTTTTTTTTTTTGTATTTGCCTTCTTACAACAATGACTCAGTACCTATGATCAAATTTCTACCTTCATATTATTTCTAGTATTGCATATTCATCTGAAATTGACCCAGGTGTGTGCTACTATACAGCACTAGTTTTTGATACAATATCATTATGCACTAGCTTATATTTACTCTGTAATATGTAAGATGGATACATTTAAAACATTGTATACATTTGATACATCAGTCCCAGCTTTTCTATTTCAGATTCAAGGATAGTCTCTTCATCACCTTCAATCATAATGATCTATAACTTATGATATTTTATCATTAGACAAGGGGATTAATATGTATTCCTCCCTCTCTCCTGTAGCATTTGCTCATGTCCGTAAACATAATTGCCATATGATTAATTCATGTGCATGGAAGACTTATTACTGAATTCTCCTGCTTATAGCAATTGTTTTAATTTGCTTTGTTTCTCTCCCCTCAATACTGATGTGTGGAGTATACACTAAGCTTGGACACTAGAAAAATATACAATTACACCTGCATCAAATCGACTTTTCAACCCTGAAGGGGTCTTTCTCAAGATAACAGATAGTAGCATCAAACATTCTTAAAAAAGAAAATAATCTTTACACTTACCAATCAAGTGCAGTGACCACCCACAAGCAGACAAACCCGGAACTGTGAGAGGACCGCGAATGACGTCATCACGTTGTGACGCTCGCAGATACAAATGTGGTTGCTGGTAGACCAACGAAAATATGTTAATCCGAGATGTGGGATTATTGTGTACAGGCTTTGGACATCCAGTGTAACCAACAGAATGTTCAAATCCGTCGTAAGAGTAATCTTGTGAATGGGATTTTAAAAAGTCTTGCGTATCCTTTAAACAAGTGGGAAAGATTCTGATGCTGTATTTGACATGGAAATCAATATGTTTCGCAATTGGTTCTATTAATCCATCCATGGCAGAAACAATCGGTATGCCAAGTGGATCTTCCAAACACTTATGGATCTTCGGTAGTGAATGTAGGACTAAGTGTTTAGGATATTTCACACTTGAGAATTTAGCCAACTTAGTGTCCAAGTACCCCGCTTGGAGTCCAATTTCAATCAGGTCATTTATTTTTTTTATTTTTTATTTGCTTGTGGGATCAAATCGGAGTTTCTGATAACAGACTTTTGTATTTCACTTTTTGTCACTGCATTCTCACACATACTTTATTTGTTTTCACTTTGTCACACTTTCTCACATTCACTCTCTTTATGCCTGTGCCCCAGCTCTCCATAGGTACATATTTCTCTTTGCTCTAACTTGATTGTTTTTATACCTATCACTGTCCTTTCACAGACACTATTCTCAGATTCACATTGTTTTCGTTGGTCTCCTAGCAGCCATGTTTGTATCCGCGAGCGGCACAACGTAATGACTTAATTTGCGGTCCTCTCATAGTTCTGGGTTTCAATCTGCTTGCGGTTGGTCACTGCACTTGATTGGTAAGTGTAAAGATTATTTTCTTGGGGGCGGAGCCTGAACGCTGATCGGATCAGATGTGCCTCCGCCAGAAAATCAGAGTTAACTGCGTGCCACAAGCAGATACTGACCAAAATCGGTGAGCATACTACTCACCAGATGACGGTGGACCCTGGGATACTGCATAACACCCCAAACGGCAACAAAATAACCTGATTGAGGCCTACCGGAGCTTGAGCTGGGGTGAGACAGCAGCTCCCCCAGTTCTCCAACTGGTGCTTTGTTCTCCCCCATTTGAACCAGTCGGGGTTATCCCGGTTCCCACGTGTGACCACCACTGCATACAGCTGCGCTTCAGCACCGGCCCTGCCGAGACTCACCGAGGACAGTTCACCCCAAGATGGCTGACAATCACAAACCTCGTGCACAGCATGATGTAAGGCCCAAGCAGAGCACATGTAAAACCATACTACAACGCAAGGCAAGGACACCCAACAGCCTCTGGGACAAGTTATCCATCCACCTTGAGATGCCAAAAGCCCCGGCCACGGGGAGAATTCAGAGACAGGAGGGGCGGAAGACAAGCGGGACACCCCTGGGCGCTGCTTCAACAGCCACGCTACAACTTCACACAATGGGACTATCCGAGCTAAATACCACTTGGGATATACACCAGGAGCATCGGCCACCGACGTGGAGGATCCAACGCAGCAGGCAGCGATTGTCCACCGAGATCCACTGCTGTCCCCTGCAAGGGAAGAAGGACTCTGCCTCCTACACAAGGGACCAAGTTCATGGTTCAGAGATGCAGGCATTGACGACTGTCCGGGGCTGTGAGGAGTACTTGCTCGGACTGCCTCTTATTGTTCCGCCTTCCCCTACGCCAGTTACCAAGCTGAGGCATAGGCTGACCCAGGACTTTGCGACCCAAGCACACAGAAAGCTGGCGAGGTCGCCCACAAGCTGGACTATCCCCCGATTTCGGCTTACCTGCCTGCATATCCATGCATGCAAATGATGAGATTAGTTATCTGTGACTAGGTGTCTTGAGATTTTACATGCCCACAAGTTATAGTATACATGTTTGAATGAGGATGGTTACACATATAGGCAACTTACCAACTCCTGTGTTAACTGTTAGCTGGTATAACTACCAATTGCAGAAACCTGCACGAGGCATACACCTTGCAACGACATACACCGGCACAGACTGGCGCATACACGCTCAAAGCAACCTCTGCCATACTTTTATCGCGCAAGCATACACTAAGAGGTGGACCCTGTGGTTTATCCAGCTTGTAACCCTACCATGATGTCTAAACACTTATGCCGCACCCACACATACATAGTCTGCAACACTCAGTTCTTTACATGTACCAGCAACGTAGTTCAATCAAACACACCCTGAAGCATTTATCGTGTTAAATGTCAACTGTTCAGGCACACCTAGTTTAACACAAAATGCACCATTATAACAGTGTGGCTGCCTAACTCAGGAGTTTCTTCTGTTTACCGTTATAGCATATGTCTCTTGTTCCTATGATTTAACGCCTTTAGTTTTATTCCTGTTTCTATAAATATAAAATTGTGCATGCCTTCTCTACTACCCCAAATATAAAGCGTATTGCTCTGCTTGAGGATTGCTGTTGAGGTACCTCAAGCCTGTCTGTTATTCTCTTCTGAACTGCAAAAATACAAAATAAAGATTATTTTCTTAGAACCCTTGGGGGTCAAAATGTCGATTTGATGCAGATGTAATTGTATATTTTTCTAATTAAAACCACATATCCATATGTGCATACAAGGATATAGAGTGTGTGTAGTGTGTTTGTGTGTAAGTGCAGAGGGTGTAGTAATTATAGAGGGGTAGAGAGTGTGTGTGTAGGAGGTGTAGTGTGTATAGAGGTATATAGTCTGTGTGTAGAGGGGGTGAAGCTTGCAGATACCTGGTGGTCCAGCAGGCAGGTTATTTGGTCTGTACCTCCATAGGGTACAGACCACGTCTCTCTCCCTCTCACGAGCACTGTTTTTTCAGAGCATTGCCACGGGTTACCATAGCAACGTTCTGGTCACCTCGGAGCTCGTGAGAGGAGGAAAGAAAGCTGTTCAGCACACACGGAGGGTGTCCGGCTCACTGCCCAATCTCCCCTCTGGCCCATGATGGAACAGAACTCCATCGTGTGGCCTGTGCTGCCCTGCATGGGCCGGCAGGGGAGATCTCTTGATCTTTCCTGACAGCCTTGGGCCATTGTGGCCCAACAAGCATTTCCAGTCCAGGAGTGACATTTTCCGGCTCAAGGAATCATTAAACATCGAGTGAGGGAGCAGGGCAAGATCTGCAGGAAGATCACTGCTCCCCACCACCTCCATGTGCCGCCTTTGCTGAAGGGCTAACAAACACCCAGGCCACAGGACAAAATTTCTTGTTGCAATGGCAGCTGGGATTTGTCAAGTCCTGTCATCAGAGTTTGCCAAGTGTCATTAACACAAGCTTTGATATAAACTGGTGGGAAAATGGCAGCATGTTAAGGAACAAAATTTACCATATGAGATACCCTGTGAAGTGTCTAGTTTCACAAACCGTAGATCTCTGTGGGGTAATATGAACAGTCAAATTTCTATAACGCCCAAATATGAGGAAAGTTCAGTGTTTTCATTCAGATACTGAATGAAGCACCTCTAGTAGCCATCTGAGGAGTGACCAGTGGAGCCATTCTTAAGCTGTAATGTAAACACAATTTTCTCTGAAAAGACTGTTTACTGCAAAAAGCCTGCAGGGACTGACTATACTCAGCAGAACTACTAAACTAGTATTTTCATGATGCAGTTGATATATAATGAGCACCATAAAATTGTGGCATTTATCACCTACCACCCTGGTAAAAATCACAGAGTGAACAGAAATATGCCATTAACAAAATGTATTTATATTGATATAAAACAAAATAGAACAAGCGCCACAAAAAATAAGTGCACCACAGTTCTACTAGATTTTATGAAATGCAGAATTACAAACATTTCAGGTTCAACCCTTTATCAACGGGCATTCCATTTTTATAAAAAGGTTTTACAAAAACATTTTTATTTCTGCATGTCCTTCATTAAAAGGACACTAGAGGCACCCAGCCCACTTCAGTTCATTGAAGTGATCTGGATGCAGTGTCCCTGGCCCCCTTAGTCCTGCAATGTAAAATAGCCACAAGAGATACTTCCTGGATTCTAAAAATGTTTGACTCCGTTAAACAACGCTGAATGTCCTGAATGAGAAAATCCAGTCTAAGTATTCTAGTTTTGGTATTTGAGTTGCTATTGCAATTTGAGAGCCACAGTGGTATAGAAAACTGAAACTGCACAGAATTTTTTTTGTCCACTTTTTTCTAACATTTTTTAGGGATTGCGGTATCCTAACCTCATCTTTTTTTTTTTTTTATAATGTAAATCCAGTGTCTAACTGAAAGAATCTCTGTGCATTTGGGTAAAAAGGATTTGTCTTTAAATTAAGACGATTTCTCAAAAGAAAAGACAATGAAAATATGAACGAGGACTTGTAACTCCAAATAATAGTTGATCTTAAGTTATGGGATTTTTTTTCCTGGTATATAGTAGTTTTTCATTCAAGTTAAATTACAAGAAAACAAGTACTATGCATTCAAACAATGAATTGCTTATTGATAACAGATGTAAGTGATGTCTGCATTGTATAAGTTATGTCACAAGTGAGAGAGGAATGATCCTACAGTTAAAGCAGAGATGTGCAGCTTAGAAAAATGCAAAAAAGTGAGTCTACCACACCCTGTCACATTCCAAAAATACCAGAAAAAAAAAAAAAAAAAAGAATATTAGCACATCTGTTGCAAATGGACCAAATGGAACCCAGATTGCCAAAATTATATTAAAACAATTTACTTTTAAACCACATATGCAATTCTCATACCTAAAGGCAAGTATTTCAACCGAATTCATTATCATGCATTCCCTACTTTAGAATCTGTGATTCTTACATGAGAATCCCATATTAAACATATGTATTGCACATCAACAATGTTTTCCCACTGTTAAGACAACCTGTCAGCAGGCAAACTAATAGAATAACTTGACTTTTATACTAATAAGAAATATTTATAAGCCTAAATTAATATATTTTAATTATTGGAGTATACGGCCCCTTCTATGGTGTTAGCATCATGAGAGAAATGGTTAACAATCAAATAATGCCAACAACTACTTTTAAGTTTCTATTAGAATTGGCAGCTGTCTTGCTGAAAATTCAGTCTAATCGAACTGTGGAAATTTGGTTGAATTGGATTTTCAGTAGACAGGAGCCATTTCGCTTTAAATTATAACTGGATTTAAAGGACCACTATAGTGCCAGGAAAACATACTCGATCCTCCTCCGTTACGCCCCGCCGGCTGAATGCGCACGCGCGGCAAGAGCTGCGCGCGCATTCAGCCGGTCTCATAGGAAAGCATTCATAATGCTTTCCTATGGAGGCGCTCTCACTGTGAAAATCACAGTGAGAAGCACGCAAGCGCCTCTAGTGGCTGTCAATGAGACAGCCACTAGAGGAATAGGGGAAGGCTTAACCCATTCATAAACATAGCAGTTTCTCTGAAACTGCTATGTTTATTAAAAAATGGGTTAACCCTAGCTGGACCTGGCACCCAGACCACTTCATTAAGCTGAAGTGGTCTGGGTGCCTAGAGTCGTCCTTTAAGTGTTTTTTTGCATAATTTTATAATTCACTGAATTAAATTGAGTGTTCTTTGTGTATTTTCATACTTTGGGGATTTCCTTTGTTCACTTGCACCCAGACAGGATGAAATCCAGTCTACATCCAATCTAATTTGGAGGCAGTATTGCAAATTCCAGAGGTTGATAATTCTTGAGAATATGTTTCCAGATTTTGCAGACAGAACGCAATGAATCATATTAGGACATTTATTTAATGCCGAGGAGTTGAATTTGGCTTTAAGGAGTAAACCTGAAAATAATTTATTGATTTTAGTTGGCGGGTGGGGACCTGAAGAGGAAGTGTAACTTTTACCAATACCAGTGTATTCCTAAAACAGTTTTCTGGTTTGAGTAACCCTTTAAAGTTGTTGACAGCTCTGCTATTTTGTCTGCCAAAAAATAATGTAAACTTCTTAACATAGATATCTCAACTGAAGCCGAGTATGAAGTATGATAACATGCTGCTTACTTGTCAAATTTAAGAATATATGTCCTGTATCCCCTAAAATATAACTTAACATGTCAAGCGATGTACAGAATGCAAATCTTACAAAAGTTCTAAGTGTCAACAAAACCCCAGACTATGATCTGAAAGTGCAAGGGAAAGCAAAATGTTATCTACTGAGTCAGGACATCACAGGTCTCACCTAGGAGTAGCAATAAGGAAAACCTCAAACTTTTTTTTGCAGACTCACAACTCCCATGACAGCGAACTACAACTCCCATGATGCTGTGCAGTTATGCAACTACCTACTGGCACCCTAAAACCATTAATGTAGTGCTGCTTTATGAACTGCTTGCTGTCTGGACACCGCTCAGTGACATGGGATTTGTAGTACATTAAGAGGCAATGCCGCAGTCTTCACAATTCCACTTTAGAACCCTGACATCCAGCTACGGAATGCTATTGTAGAATGCCAGCTGCCCTGCGGAGGAGCATATATATCTGTACAGGAAATTCACTGACAGCTAATGGAGGAGTCAGCAGCCAGCTCCCACCTACCGGCAGGCTCTGCTTTATGACCTGTGCTTGTGAAAGTGTCACCGGCCCGAGTTGTTCCTCCCCTTCCAGCTCATCGCCCGACTGCTGGAAATCACCGGTCTCACCACCGCTCCCAGTCAGGATCAACACTCATCGCCGCCATCTTGCCCGCTGTGTGACCCCGCCCATCGGAACATGACGTCATACGTCGGAAGTACGGGCAGGAGGGCATCACAGCGGAGGAACCAATCACGGAGCGATACTGGGAGTACAGTAGCCAATCACCGGGCCTGAACCAGTTCACAACAGAGCTGGTAAACAGAAGGTGTGAGGCTGTGCTTTGCCCACACTCCTCCCATTCTGTGTACTGTGACTGTAATGTGAACAATGTGGTGCTTGCTGACTGAAGTGGTATTGTCATTTGTGGTGGGCTTGGCAATTTTTGCAAAGTGCCCCATGGTGACATCAGCTTGGATGGTGGTACCCAAGTATCTGTAGTTAAAGGGATACTCCAGCCACCATGACTACTTATGATTTTAGGAGTGGTCTTGGCAGTAGGAGTCTGTATGTGCACTATCTGTACACTTTTGTGCTGGGGGCTAGTTGCTCCTCCGGCATGACTCAGTTTTGGACTGCCTGATGTCGCTTCTGAGCACACTGGTGTTAGACATTCTGAAAAAAAAAAAAAACACTGTACAATAATAATACTGAAAATAAAGAACCTACAAATAAAAAAAAAGAGTCTCCTAAAAGTGTCACACCAACACCCAAAAAATATGAACACACAAAAAATATATACAATAGTATATAATAGAAAGGGGGAAAAACACACCAAAGAGCATAAAGTGTAAAACACAACCTGCATAGGTATACAAAGTCTGAGATCTGATAAATTAAAATCTAGGAGAAAAAAATCACAACATTGTAATATGTACAAAAAGAGGACACAGTGTGGGAGAAGAAAAGCACTCACAAGATGAAACTGGAATGCAGGCATGTCTCCCCAACATGGGCAATTGAGAAGCAAATGATGAATTCAGACCATCCAGATGCTGATGTCTATTGCACAGTCTGGTGTACAAAAGAAGGGAGACCACAAACAGTGCAATATTTTATGTACAAAAAAATGTAGTAGGTTAATGCACTTACAAATAGTAGAATAAAACAGAGCCAATTTCCACTGCAAGTGGATCTATATATAAATTCTTCCCAGCCAGGTCACAAATGCAGAACAAATGCAGAACTGGAGCTAGCAGCAAAATACAGCAGCAGAGCAGTACAGGTATAAACAAAAATAAATAAAAACATAGATAATACAAAAATCTAACGCATTTGTCCGTGTCCTGGACTTCTTCAGGGATATAAAAATAGCTATGTATATAGGGAGTATGATTACTCACAGAGTGTATGTCAACGATGAAGATCGTTATATCTAAGCAGAGAAAAAAAACTAGAGAAGATACATACTATAGCGAATTCCATGATGGTTATACTTAAAGGGACTCTATAGTCACCTGAACAACTTTAGCTTAATGAAGCAGTTTTGGTGTATAGAACATGCCCCTGCAGCCTCACTGCTCAATCCTCTGCCATTTAGGAGTTAAATCCCTTTGTTTATGAACCCTAGTCACACCTCCCTGCATGTGACTTGCACAGCCTTCCATAAACACTTCCTGTAAAGAGAGCCCTATTTAGGCTTTCTTTATTGCAAGTTCTGTTTAATTAAGATTTTCTTATCCCCTGCTATGTTAATAGCTTGCTAGACCCTGCAAGAGCCTCCTGTATGTGATTAAAGTTGAATTTAGAGATTGAGATACAATTATTTAAGGTAAATTACATCTGTTTGAAAGTGAAACCAGTTTTTTTTTTTCATGCAGGCTCTGTCAATCATAGCCAGGGGAGGTGTGGCTAGTGCTGCATAAACAGAAACAAAGTGATTTAACTCCGAAATGACAGTGAATTGAGCAGTGAAATTGCAGGGGAATGATCTATACACTAAAACTGCTTTATTTAGCTAAAGTAATTTAGGTGACTATAGTGTTCCTTTAAGGGAAAACAGGCTTAAAAACAAATTTAAAAAACCCCAAAAATAATAAAAATGGAAAATGGAAAAATAATGAATATAATTTCTCTTCATAGTGATGCCTTGATTCAATGAGAAGATGCTAATTGGCGCAGCACAACTTTTTGCCACGCATGCACAATAGCCTCTCAATGCTTTCCTTTGATGATGTCAGCCACAGAGGCAGAGCCAGCCGCGGCATGGCCAGCGCGTCACTGGAAAAAATGTGATTTTAGCTCTGTAGTGACAAGAATAAATATTTGTGTTCAGGACACTATAGTATTCATTAACCCCTTAAGGACGGAGCCAATTGTACAAGTTGCGATCAAAACAAAACGTAAACAAAACCTGGAATTTGCGCTATATGTGGTTCAACCATATTTCACCTCTTTCATATTAAGTGCACCCACACTTATGATATATCATGTGAATGAATCCCATCATGGCCTACCATTTGCAAATATAGACAGCCCAGGGTATTCAAAATGGGGTATGTCCAGTCTTTTGTAGTAGCCACTTAGTCACAAACGCTGGCCAAAGTTAGCGTTCTTATTTGTTTTTTGCATTTTTTTTACGCAAAAACTGCACTTTTACCGGTGAGATCATCGTCGTGATACGTTTTACTGTTTTAAAGCACTCATATTTGTGTACAGCGAAGTCTCCCGAGTATAACAATAAAAGTTACAAGGTTAATATAGGGCTTGCCATTAAATTCTCTGGACTGTCTGCCTGGGTTGTCAGGCCGGTCCCTCAAATTATTATTAATAAAATCAAACAATTAAGTAAAATTAATAGTTAAATATATATGTAAATTGTATATATATATATATATATATATATATATATATATATATAAAAAATAGTCTTGCACTCCAACTTACTGGTGTCTTTGCCCGGTGCTTCTCAGCATCAATGTAACCAAGTAGCATAGAGATAGCACTCCTAGGACTCCAAAGGTATTAAAAGTAAAATTTTACTTTTTTTTACTTCAGTTAAGCAATAAACGTTTCAGTTTGTCACTGAAACGTTTATCTCTTAATTGAAGTAAATAAAAGTTAAGTTTTACTTTTAACACCTTTGGAGTCCTGGGAGTGCTATATCTATGCTACTTGGTTTTATATATATATATTTATAAATATATACACACACACACGCGTATTATATACACACACATATATATATACCATACTGGGAGAATTGTTGTTGTAGAGCTACTCCAATAGACCAATAGACACACCAACAATTTGGAGCTTCTAGAAAAGAGGGAAATTAGTATAGATAAGAGGGATTTGGGCCTAAAATAGGGAATACCCCGCCTAAATAAGGGTGCTTGAGAGGTATGTGGCTTTCAAGCAGAAGATAGGTCATGCTACTTCCTGGTTTGGTTAGTTTCTAATTGAGTTACACTGGGAAGTTTGTAATTGGAGAGCCACAGAAATCTGGGCTGGATTAGGAGACCCCAGATTTCTCTTCTGCTACTGCTTCTGTTTATAGAAATACCCTCATGTAGATATTTGAATAGTTTTGAGAAATTATAGGGTCACATTACAGACTTGCAATTTTGCCATTTATATTTAACCATGTCAGCTTTGATAGGAAAAAGCTTACAACTAACCCCCATGAAGACCATCTACAAAAGTTGATATCCCGGGCTATTACATATAGGGGATTTTGGCGTTTGTAATATGGTTGTTACATTGTGGTTTTATTGCAGAATTTAAAAGTATTCCTGTGGTATTCGCGAACACATTTCATTTTTTTGTTCTTTTCACAGACTTGCTGTGTCCTACTATTGTAAAGACTACAATCATGGCATATAATTTGCTAAGAAGTCAATTTGGGCTGTTTCATGTGGGGCATTGCTTTGTTTTCCCTTTGCATTTCATCTCAAATGAAAGCAAATTTAGAAGTATTTTTTATAATTTTCAAAAGCATGTCATAGTGAATTTCACAGGATTTGTGTCTCTTACTACTTTAAAGAACAGAGTAATTTATATTCTGCTGCATCCCACATGTACAGCAATACTCTTCACCTATATTTTTTCCAGGTATTTGTGAATTTACAGGGTCATATTAGAGCCCCGTCCTAATTCTGGCATACCTCCTGACTTGCTTTCCAGATGAAGTGACAATCTTTGAAATCCCACTGACCAGTGTCAAACCTTGACACAGTGTTAGTGGCATAATGGCATATGTCTCAGTAGAAAATAAAATCCTGTAACATAAAATGAAAAAAAAAAAATCAAACTTCTTACATTACATTCCAAAATAATTCACTTTATTTTTAGTCCCTTATAACTATAAACTAAAGGACCACTCTAGCATTACAAATGTGTGTTCCTAACAGTATCATTTCAACAAAATAAAGCCATTTTACCTATTCACCCTCACAACATCGGTCTTTGTGTTGCCGTCCCACCTCCAAGGCTACTGAAAAGCATTAGGATGCTAAGATGCATACGCATCAAAATGTCATGCTGCGCCAATCAGATGGACTATAAGATTGAGTTTCACTCAGCTATTCGAACAGAAATTCCTCTAGTGCAGCGTTTCCCAATTGGTGTTCCGCGGAATCTCCGGGTTCCGCAAGAACAAAATTCGGGTTCCGCTGCGATTTGCCGTCGGGTGGCCCAAGCATTTGGGGTCATCGATAAACAGGGGTGCGGTCAGGTTCCGCAGCCGCCTAGGACTGCGACTGGACCCTTATTGTATGGGATGCTGGAAGGAAGTGACAGCACTTCCTCCCAGACAGAGCGTGCCAGCTGGAGGGAGAGAGGACGCAGCGGGGACTGAGCAGTACACCAGGCTCAGACAACAGCACTAAAGACCCGCCTGCAGAAAAAAGGTAAGTGAACAGCAAATCTAAACATATGTGTGTGTGTGTATGTGTACCTGTATCAATGTGTGTATCTGCCAATGTGTGTGCTAATTTGTGTATCTGTGTGTCTAGGTGTGTGTATATCTGTGTCAGTGTGTGTATCTGTTTCTGTGTGTATATGTGCTAGTGTGTATCTGTGTGTCAGTGTAGCTGTCAGTGTGTGTATGTGTCAGTGTATCTGTCAGTGTGTTTGTGTGTATGTACCAATGTGTGTATCATTGTGCCAGTGCATGTGTACCTGTCAGTATGTGTATCTGTGTGTCAGTGTTTCTGTCAGTGTGTGTATCTGGGTGCCACTATGTGCCTGTGTGTGTGTGTGTGTGTGTGCGTGTGTGTGTGTAT